AAGAAGTGGAAGCTGATGTTGAACAAGATGTTAAGACATCATCCGCTGAGAAGGAATCTTCTGCTAATGAAGATGGTGCTGGCTCCAAAACTGTAAAGAATCCAAATGCTGATAATGTGGTGAACATTGATGAGTTGTCTGATAATGACCTTATTTCCAATGTGGTGCATGGAATTGCTAAAAGTCTCAAGTCTAGAAAGGTGAAGATTGTGGATGTCACACCCCTTTCCAAGAGTATCAAGAAGAAGACTATGCATGGTCCCCCAAATCCCTGGAGTAAAGTGGGTCCTCCCTCCAACAAAAGAAAAGTTAGACCTGATAGCTCCTCAAATGATGATGAGGATGATGTCCAGGATATCTCTCCTGTGAAGAAGTATGCAAGCAAGAAGCTTCCTGTCAGGGTGCCTGGTGCTCCTCTTAATAACATCTCCTTCCATTCTGTTGGCAATGCAGAAAATGGAAATATGTCTTCCAAAGAAGGATTTCTCTTGAAAGAGAGTTGGGAGCAGATGCACTGGAATACAAAGAGATTATGGAGCTGATTTATTTTGTTAGCTTGATGAAGACTGTCACCAGGTTTGCAAAATATTATGAGACTCTTGTTAAGGAATTTATTGTTAATATTCCTATAGACTGTGCTGATCACATAAGTAAGGAATATAGGAAGGTGTTTGTTAGAGGTAGATGTGTTGAATTTTCCCCTGCCGTCATCAATAGATATTTGGGAAGGTCTGAAGAGGATTACTGTGAGTTAGAAGTGACTGATAATCAAGTGTGCAAATCCATCACTGTAAACCAAGTGAGAGATTGTCCCGTGAAGAATAAGCTCCCTGTTAGTAAGGTAAGTGTGAAATATGCTATCCTGCATAAAATTGGATCTGCTAACTGGGTCCCTACCAATCATACCTCAACCATTACAGTTGGCTTGGAAAAATTTATCTATGTTGTTGGAAATAAGAAATTATTTGATTATGATGCTTACATTTTTGAACAGACTGTAAAGCATGCAGGAACCTGTTCTATCAAGATGTTTATTGCCTTTCCATCTCACATTTGTGGAATTATTCTAAATCAGCACCCTGGAATTCTATGTCGCACTGATGCATTTTGCAAAAGGGAGTCTGCCCTATCACTTCATTTCAATTTATTTTCAGGTGAACATGTCCTAGACATTGTTTTGACATCTCCATCCTCTGAAAACAAGACATCAAGCAAAGATGATATGATTGTTGAGTTGATGGAAGTCTGCAAAGAACTTGATGAGGTAATCAGAGTTAGCTCAGAAAGGAAGATAAAATTTGAAAAGCTGATCAAGGATCTGCAGAAGGATACCCGTGTGGGTACTGAAGGAAGAGATTCTGATAATGAAGGAAGTTCTGAAACTACCAAGTCTACTGGTCCTGAAGACAATTAGACTCTGTGTTGGTGCCTTCTTTTTTTGTTCTTTTGTATTTTGATCCCTATGTTATTTTTGGCACTTGTATGTGCTTGATACTTGGATATTCTGGTCTGTACTTCTTTTACTACTACTCTCTTGAATACATGTTTATTTAGTATATTATGTCTAAAAAGGGAGAGAGAACTGACTGACTGACTGCTAAGTTTGAGGGGGAGCTTCATGTCTCAGAAGATGTCTTGACATCTTCCACTACTAACTGCTAATTGAGTTTCTACTAACTGAGTTTTTTTCCTGCTGCTCTGATAATGTCCTCAAATATTGTTTTAGCCAAAATTTATCAAAGGGGGAGTTTGTAAGTGTTTGTTGGCAGCAATTTTGGTAAAACACTGCTTTGGTAATATTTTGCTTAATGTCTTGACATTTGAAGTAAAACATCTCAACTGATTTGGAATGATGTCAAAGCAGATGTCTTAACATCTGTCTGCTGATCTGAACGTGTTTTCAGATTTTCTATTTTCTGTTTTAAGCGCGCCTTATTCAGGATTTGTGGGTTATAACTTGCGAAAAATATGGAAGAATATTTTTCGATTTGTCTCATCTTTATAGTTTATATCTTGACCTACTTTCATGGAGATTTTTAAGGGATTCAATATATTGCAATATTGGTTTTTCAGCCCATGCCCATAAAGAAGTTGATGCGCCTTTATAAAGACTTGCATCCTTATTCGTACTACTGCAACAATTAAAGAAAAATACACTTTGTGTGTTTTAAAAGTCTGAATCTTCTAATTGTAATACACTCTAGTATTGTTTCAATACTTGAGTTGTAATTTGAGTTGTAAGTTGTGGATCATTCATAAGCTTTTAAGTATTGAATGATTGAGTTTTTTAAAACTTGATAAATCTGTTGTTTTTCACTGTTAGTGATCGAATGGATTTGAGGAGGGCCTTATACCTAGGTGTGTCTTAGGTAGAAGTATAACACGAGAAGTGATTAAGTGATTAAATCGTAAATTTGTTGTTTACTGAGGGTCTATAAATTAATACTATTTAGTGGACTTTTTCCTGACTTGGTAGCCCATAGAGTTGGTGTTGTTGTACATCGAACTGGGTTAACAATCCCTTGTGTTTTTACTGTTTTTAATACTATTACATTTTATATTGCCCTCAAATATTTGTGTCGTGACATCTCCTTCAATATCACTATACCGAATTTTAAAATAAATTGTTTATATTAAGAGATGAACATATAATGTTTTCAAAACTTATAGCATTTAAATTCTACAATTTTTAAATTCCGCTTGTTTTATTCAGCTGTAGAATTAGTCTTGTGAGAGGGTTGACGAGTGCCCCCTTACCTACTTCAAGAAGCAACCTACGACCATTTCAATTTTCCCACCACTAGCAGTAGTTCTTATTCAACCAAACTGGAAACCATTGTACAAAACAACACCTTCACTCTTCTTCCTTTCTCTCATGCACAAAAATGGATCCTAACAACTTCCCTGTTCTCTGTTATCTCTTAAACCACCTACACCCTCAAACCTATCAGCCTCTTCCGCAACACCTTCATCAAAATCTATTAACCCGTTTCCCTCTTGTCAACAACACCAAACTGTTATCTTCACTCACCAACCTCATTTCCAATATCAACATCACACACACACTCTCTTTTCTCAACACCCTCGGTCCTCGTCCCGATCCTTCTTCCGTCGCTGCTTCACGTGCCGAAATCCAAGTAGCCGTTTATCCGGCTTTGTTGAGGGTGGATGATATGCATGAGGAGTGTGTGAAGCAGTTGAGGGTTGCTGAGGAGAAGTTGGTGGAGGCTTATGGGGTGTTTGTGGACAAGTCCATGAAAGGAGACGATGAAGGGAATGAACGAGTTGTTGGGTTATTGAAGAAAATTGAAGAGGGTGAAGTTGTTGAGAAGGTTGATCTTTCTGGTATCAAGTTAAGGCTTTTTCCCGATGAGCTTGGGAAGATGAAGGGTTTACTTGTTCTTAATCTGTCTCATAATCAGTTAAAGGTATTCATTCTCTTATGACTTCTATCTATTTCTATGAGCATTAGTTTTATTCATTGTAGCTTATAATTTTGAATAATTTCATGACCTCAAAACAGGTGATTCCAGATTCAATAGCAGGCCTAAAAAAGCTCATGGAGCTTCATGTTTCATCAAATCTTTTAGAGTCTCTACCAGACTGCATTGGATTGCTAACCAATCTAAAAACCCTTAATCTGTCAGGAAACAAGCTAACTGCTCTTCCTGAATCCATTTCTCTTTGCAGGTTCCTCTTTGTTTAGAAACTACATTTTTCTCTAACTTAATATTTGCAGCACATTTGTTTCTCCTATTAAGTCTATCTTCGATGCGAATTGTAGGTCACTGGTTGAACTGGATGCAAGCTTTAACAACTTAATTTGTCTGCCAACGAACATGGCCTACGGACTCGTTAACCTCGAGAAGCTTTTGATCCATTTGAACAAGTTACGGTTTCTTCCTCTTTCCATTGGAGAAATGAAATCTTTAAGATATCTTGATGTTCATTTCAATGAGCTCCATGGCCTACCTCAATCTATTGGGAAGCTAACAAATCTTGAATATCTAAACATCAGTAGTAATTTCAACGACATGACGCAACTTCCTGAAACAGTTGGTGGTCTGAGTAACTTGGTGGAGCTAGACATGAGCAACAACCAGATCCGAGCTCTTCCTTGCGCGTTTTGCAGGCTTTATAAACTTACAAAGTTGAACCTGGACCAGAATCCGATCCTTGTTCCACCATTGGAGATTGTAAATCAAGGCGCTGAGGCTATCAAGGAGTTCATGGCTAAGAGGTGGCTTGAACTCATTGACGAAGAGCGGCTGAAAAACATGGCTGAAACTCAAAATCGACAAGTAGAGACGGGTTGGTTGGTGTGGGGAGCCTCATTGTTGAATAATGTTGCTGTGGTTTCTGAGAGTGTTGCAGACTATTTGGGTGTTAGAAAAGCTACTACAAACGTAAATGGATCAACAGCTGAGACACATGAATTACTAACCCAGACACGAAACTAACATTGATACGTTGATATCAGTATTAATTTGAGAAAAATGAAATACAAGTGTTACTTACTTATGCTATAAGTAAGTATATCAGAGTTACATCAGTGTTGGATATCAGACACACCTTTAATATGAAATATAAATATTAATTATGTTGTAATATATGCATCTACTCTTTGATGTTTGGTTTTCTCTACCTAATACACTTGATGCATAAATAAATAAGACCAGAAAAAGTGAATAATCTAATAATTCTCCCTTTACTTTTGATCAATTCTGGCGGCCTGCAGGCGGTCTGCATGCTACTATAAATTATAAATTAGTTTTGTTTTCTTCTCTTCGACTATATATTTAAAAACGATTCATACAATTTTAGACAATAGCGTGTGGAACTTGATCAAAATCAAGAATCAATCGATAACTATAATAATTGATTATTAAGCAGTTAGAGAACATGCACATTTTATTAATAAATAACTCAGATAAGGCCTATGATTGTATTTGTAGAGTTTGCATATAGTATTTCCCTTCACTTCTCAGTTAGTAAACAAGATGAAGTCTTTCCAGTTAGCCAATGAGTCTTGTCCCAACAAATTCATCCTTCCAGAAAGCAAAAGACCAAACCTTTCAGAGGTTGAATCTCTAGACTCAATTCCCATAATTGATTTGAGTTACTGTCATGACAGCAGTCCTTTATCCTTAGAAGTGGTTCACAAGATTTCAAAGGCTTGTGAGGAATTTGGTTTCTTTCAAATAGTGAACCATGGTGTTCCTCAACAAGTTTGCTATAAAATGATGAAAGCAATTACTGACTTTTATGAACTGCCATCAGAGGAAAGAGAGAGTCTCTATTCAACAGATCACACCAAGAGTGTAAGATTGTTCAATTATTACCTTAAAGTGGAAGGTGGAGAAAAGGTCAAGTGTTGGAGTGAATGTTTTGCTCATCCATGGTATCCTAATGATGATTTCATTTCTTTTCTACCAGAACAAATTAGAACTCAATACATGTAAGGAATTTTTCAAATCGCGATCACAAACCTTTTTTTTAAAACTATGATCATAAGCTATCATAGACAGTTATTTTATACTTTTGCACTTTTTTTTTGCAGGGAGGCATTTAGTGAGTATGCAAAGGAGATTGGTTCATTGGGGAGCAGGCTTCTAGGTTTGATATCAATAGGACTTGGCTTAGAGGAGGATTGTTTGTTGAAGAAGTTAGGTGAGCAGCCTAGACAAAGAGCACAATCAAATTTCTATCCACCATGTCCAGATCCAGAGTTAACCATGGGTCTAACTGAGCATACTGATCTGAATGCTCTCACTGTACTTTTGCAATCTCAAGTTTCTGGTCTTCAAGTTAACAAAAATGGGAAATGGATTTCTGTACCTTTTATTCCCAATGCTTTTGTTATCAACCTTGCTGATCAAATTCAGGTATGTTTCATTCATTGGTGTGCTTTTCCAAGACATTTTCTATCTATCGTTCCACTCCCACTATCTTGGTAGTTAGGTTATCTTATATTAAGGTGATGAAGCATATTAAAAATAAAAAGTGAAATTTCGGCTTTTCCCTTGTATGTCTTACTAGGTAAATTCACCGGTTAACTAAGTCAAAAATTCAGGACATTCCAACATTTTCTAGTTTAAAATATGTATAATTCTGTCAATAGAAATTTCTTAAAATCTCAAGTGAGATTGAGAAACACTTTTAAACACTATGAATTTATGTGATTAATATATAGAGAGAGAGTTTGAGAGATTGGAAAATACTTGTGGTGAAAAATATGATTTATTTTTTAGAATTTTAAAAACTATTTTCTTTTAACTCTTTTGTGATCTCTTGTAACAACTTTTGGAAGTAGAGTGAATCATAAAGTTGCTCTTTCTCCAAAGTAGATCAATTCGACTGAGCTAGCTAAACAAATTCTTTGAGTATTTGTTTTTCCTATTTCTCTTGCTTTTGTGGATTTATCTAAACTGTTTGACAGGTCCGTTTATGCTTGAGGTCATTTATTTTGGTTGTCCTTGTTCTTTATCACACTCATCATAGTTCTCAACAAAATTAATATTATTATATTTTAAACAAGAAGGTTTTGTTGTGGTTAAACCTATCAATTTCACAACAAGTGACGTCTGTCATAGAAAAATGAGTTAAGTTTACAAATTAACAACATGGTAGAGAAAAAAATCTATAATGTAACAGTTGGAAAAATTTTACAAGATGATTACCAATATCATTTGAAGACTTCAATGTTTCCCTTCTTTATATTAGTAAGGTAATATTACTTTGGATTAAATCCAAAGTACTGTGAGATGCAAGGAATTCTCAAAGGTAAAAGATTTGAAGATTGACGAGTGTGGTGAAGGCTTGAGTGTCTCAAGAGGAGAAAGTGAGCATGTAAGAATTTTTAAAACTAAGAGATTTTATAAGTCAGTTTAAAATGCTTTATTTGTAAAAAAAGAATAGGCCACTTTAAAAAGGATTGTCTCAAGAGGGAGGACAATGAAAATTTTGTTTAAATTGTAGATGGCTGAAATAAAACTACTATACTAAAGTTGAACATGGGGTATTGAAGATTTCACACAGTAGAGTGATCATGGCTAAAGAGTTTAAAATATGTAGGTTATATATTTTAAATGGTTTCAATATTATTGGTCATTCATCATTAGCGAGTGAATACTTTTATGATAAGAATAAACTATGAAATTTGAAGTCAAGGCACACTAGATGCCTGGAGTTTTTTTTGTAAAACTTTAATGAACTTTGTAGAGGACAAAAGATAAAAACACATTTGATGGCTTTTGGAATGGTGCTAGAAGTTGAGTTGTGAGAAAGTTTCTAGGATAAGGCTAATGCTAAAACAACTTACCTGATTGGAAAATGTCCATTTCCATGAATAAACTTTCAAACACCTATGGAGTTTTGGAAAAGAAAACTTCTAGACTACTCTAATTTAAAGATCTTCAAAATATTGTTGTTTGTGTAAATCAACATAGTCCAACTTGATGATAAGGTTATGAAGTGTGTCTTCAATGGTTTTCTAGAATATGAAAATGGTTATATTCAATGGAAAATGAAATTTAAAGAATTCAATTTCATCATAAGCAGATGTATTACTTTCATTAAGGCCTGTAAGGGAAGGAAAAGTTAAGACATAAAGATGAAGGTATTATAAACTATGACTGAGAAGATTCAATTAGGGCTAGAGGGTCTTGCTAGGGATACTAATTTCAGTGAAGGAAATTTTACAATGACCTATGATTATCATTTGAATCGTTATAAGATGAGGATGAAAATTGTGCCATCTCAGAGGTTCAACTATGCTCGTTTTGGGTGTTATGCTTTATATGTGGCTGAAATATTCAAAACTCATAAACATAAACCTTTAGGAAGGTATTCAAAAGCAAAAAGAGTCAAAATGGTTGAAGAACCATACTTATGAGAAAGTGGATGAGTGCAAGTTGATGCAAGTGATAAGATCAAGGTTCAAGTGTGACTTGAACTTGATCAAGATTGTGAAATAGTGATTTTAATATTGGAGAGAACATAAAGGTGATTGATGGGTATATTGACATCACCATCAATTTAAAGTTAAGATGGAAATTTCTAGAAGAATGCATAAAAGCACAAGTGATATAAAGTAAGAAAATATATTTGTCCGGATTAGCAATAATCAAGGATGGATATCTGGTGGGCGACGAAGATACCGCAGTGGCGGTGGTCCTTAGTAGAGTGGTGGCAGTCAATGTTTATGATGTGGCAGACCTTCGAAATGGCAAAGCATGACGTGCAGATGATAAAATGTTGTTCAAAAAAGAGAAAATGTTATTAAGTTAAATCAAATATAACTTAACATTACAATGTAACCATGAAGAAATTGTGAATACATACAATCTAATACTCCTTCTGTCCTAGAAGAGAAAAAAAATTGATTCATTTTACCATAAATTATAAGTAAAATTTATCAACTTTAATCTATTTAATCATATTGTTTTGATTTTATATTCATTATTATTATTTCCCTCTTCTTTAGTCATTGATATCATTCAAATGCTATCACACTAATATTTGAAATTATTCTTCTTTTTTAACAAATGCACTTTGCTTTTCATGTGTAGTATTAGGATTAGGATGCATCCTTGTTATCTTGTATTTTATCACCTTTGTTATTACTTATTATCTCTATGACCAAAATACATAGGATGTTGGATTTAAAATCCTTTGGAATGTTTGGATATTTTGTCAAAAAATCTCATTCCTTACACTTCATCTTACTTTTTTCACCACCACCCTCTCCTCTTAAATAGATTCTTAGACTTTGTTTGTAAATTTGGAGGAGAAAAGAGGAGATGACTTTGAAAAAGGGAAGAATTAAATAAAAATAATTGATAAATTTAGGTACCGAATGTTTTTTAAAAGTTTATTTCCAAGGAGAAAGGTGTTCTTGGACTTAGAAGGATATGAGATTTCAATTTGGCTCTTCTTCACAAGAAGAGATGGAGAATTCTAGAAGAATATATGACTTTATGGTATCAAGTTTTGAAGGTCTCTTATGGTGACATTAACTTACACGTGGTGAACGGAGGGAGTTGTAGTAAGAGTAGGAATATTAAATCTTCATGGTGGTCGGATATTTTATTCTTAAATAGGAATCATTCGGAAGATGTTTTGGTTAGGAATTGTAGGTTCGATGCTGGGAATGGTTTTTCTATTTATTTTTGGCACTCAACATTGACGAATTTTGGTTGCTTTAAGGACCTCTTTCCTTATTTGTTTTCTTTATCCAAATTACAGGACGTCTCAGTGGGAGGCATGAGAGGATGGGTTGACAATGAATGAAGATGGGGGGAGACTTTAGAATTATTGCTCCGAACAACATAATGGCTGGAACAGACTTATTGCAACTTCGGATCCTGCTGCGGTCACGCTCTCCTACCGTGGGCAGCAGCGCTAACATTTTGTGGAGCGTCGATCCGGTTCAAGGTTTTTCGATAAGGGGATGTTTTGATTATATTAATAAAGCCCATGTTTCTTTGGGTCCGACAAATAATTTTGATAAAGCTCTTGTTTCTATTTAGAAGATGGATGTTCCTCACAAAATCAAAGCTTTTGATTGGAAGTGTTTTATCAATAGGCTTCCAACTAGATATTTACTTGCTACTCGAGGTATTTTTAACCATTCTAGTGATATCAGATGCGTTCTTTGTAGAGGTGTTCCCGAATCTTCGATTCATTCTTTATTATTGTGTCGTATTTTCGGATTGGTGTGGAAGGAGATTATCGAGTAGATTGATTTTGTTGATTTTGAGACGAATAGTTTCAAGGATAGTTTTTTGAGGTGGTGCTTGTTTTGCAAGTCCAAAAAAGTTAAAAAAGGAAAAGAAGGTTGTGTTTGGTTGGCAACTTCTTGGAGCTTATGGATTCTTAGAAACAATATCATTTTTAGGGAGGAAGATTGGAACGTTTTGGATGTCGTTTGGAGCATTAAGGCCTTGCTTTGGAGATGGTCTTACATAGAAAATATTACATATTCCAATTGGGGTGTAATGTTTCTTTTCCGAGTTTTGTCTCGTCTTTTTGTAATCGGGTTTGAAAATATTTGTTCTCTCTGTTGGGGGGAGATAGGATATAGGTGAGTGGGTTCTCCCCCTTATATATGTAATGTGAATTCCAACACTCCCTCTCAAGTGTGAGTCCACAATGCTCCCTCACTTGTACCGCCATTGACATTTTTCGATCTCTTTCTCGAACCAAAGGCTCTGATACCATGTTGGGGGGAGATACTAGGAGCATACATAGTGTAGGAATAAACACATTTGTGAGAGGCACACCACTTATCCACCTAAAACCTTAAGGTGATAGGTGATTGGATTCTCCCACTTATATATGTTTAAGTCTCCACATTTTCATCCAATGTGGGACTATTTTCTTATTTACTCATATTTGTTATATTATTCCAACACTCTCTTTATTGAATCTTGCTTACAAAAAAAACTATTTATATTATAAAATTTCTCTAATTTAGGTTAGAGGTACTAAAAAATTGTATTGAATGAGAGATTTGAAGAGATAAATTATTCAAATATAATTTATGTTGTTATAATTTAGAGAATTAATAATATATAAATGATAAATATTCGCTCTTTATATTATACAAAATTATATTTTCAAAAAATAAAAGATTTTTTATATTTTCTTCAATTTTTACTTTCTGAGTCTTTCATTCCTCCCATTCCTCAGGGATGGACCTAAAAATTGTAGGGGGTGAAATTAAAATATAATTGTAACAATTTTAAAAAATATAAATATGTATTGTTTATTAAATATTTTGAAGTTGTTAAACTTTTTATCTTTAAAATAATTGTGAAAATCTTGAAGTTCACCTAATGGAGATACTAATATATTTTTTATCTTTAAAATAATTGTGAAAATCTTGAAGTTCACCTAATTGAGATACTAATATATTTCTATATTAATACTTTAAAAGGCATATATGGTCTTCTTGACTTTTTAGCATATGAGCCAACATTTATCCATTTTGTTTTTTACACACAATACAATGATTATAAACTTGTAGCATATTAAATAAATACATAAACACAATACAATAATTATAAACTCGTAGCATATGAAATAAATACAAAGAAACGATACATGGATATATACATTCTTATAAATTATAGTGGGGCAAAGACACCCACAAATTTGGCTTTGGATCCGTCCATGCCCCTCCTAACTAACAAAAAAAAATTTTAAATTTAAACCAACTTTTTTTATCTCGTTGTTTGTGGTTTATTGTCGGATTTTAGTATCTTGCTATATTATTAATCTTTGTTTTTGTTTCACATACCCTCTTCTTTTGTTCGGTTTGTGAATTAGAAGGGGAGATAAATGAAGAGTTTAGGAAGAAAGAAATTACTATTTTTTAAAAGAAAGATTTTATATAAAATGATAAATGAGAATGTGTGTCATTAATATTATATATTTTCAAAATATTAAAGTAATATAAAGTAAAAATTTCAAAAATTTATGTAAGTCTTTTAAATCTCTTCGCAATTCAATTTTTGAATTCCTTCAAACTACAGAGATTTTGAAATATGAATATATAATTAAACACGCAAAATTCTCTCCACATAAATTCTTCAATTATTTTCACTTGTTTTTTATTTTTTTTAAATTAAATTTCCTCCTATTTAATTAATGTAAATTTTTATACAATTTTGAAGGGTCACTTGAAAATAATTTAAAATGTGACATGTATAATTTCTAACTTAATATGCAGGTTTTAAGCAATGGAAGATACAAAAGTGTATTTCACAGGGTTGTTACCAACAATTTAAATCAACGACTGTCAATGGCAATGTTTTTTGGTCCAAATCCGAACATGATAATTGGTCCAATTCAAGAACTAATAGATGAAGAACACCCTCCCAAATATAGAAAGTATTGTTTCTCTGAGTTTCTTAAAGAGTTCTTCAACCAAGAAGGAACAAGAACCATGCTGAAGGAAGCCTTTGAAATATCACATGATAATAAATAATGCATTTGAATTTGTATGCATTAATTAGAAAAATAAGTTTTCACATACATTCGATTAAATATAACCATCAAATATTTTTATTTGATATATATATTTAAATGTTTAAAAAATGATTTTGAAATATGTGTTAAACACTTTTTTACATTATAATTGCATACAAATTAAATTTTAAATAAGGCTCAAATTTCATAATGTATCCAAACTACTGTTGGATTGTTAAATTAGAAAAAATAAGGATTAACAATTCTCCAATATTGATTCATCGTCCCTTTTCAATCTAAACCTTTTAACGTTAAACATGAATTTTTTTTATGGTTAGTCATTCTTTATTATTGATTCATCACTGGCTCTGAATTCTCTAACATGGGCTTTGTCAAAGTCTTATGACACACAAAAAATGACATCATTGTTGTCATTATGGGGAGGATGGTTCTTCAATGTTAGTTGAGTTTCTGAAGTATGAAATACCATGTTGTTGAAATAAGCCATGACAGCTAATAAATATTATATGTATTTACTTTTGTGTCTTGACCTTAATATATGCATTTTTTATTTTGTTTTCACTATCGGTATACGGTCTATTGTATCATGTCAGTTTTGACATCAAGTAGTTTTAATTATTTTTTAATCACAGTTGTGGGATCAAATAATGATTTTTTTTATTAAGTTCAACACTAATTGTTCTGGATTGAGCCTGCCTTGGCCCAAAAGGCAGATAAAGGTCCAAATCCAGACAACTCTTCAAGGAATGCTCACAAACGGACCACCACCAAACGTGCCCGACCACGGACTGCAGCTGCTATGCCCGCCATTGCCCGCGACAAGCAGTGTCCCCGACCAAGAGAACTCTAGCTCGAGACCAGCTCGAGCACCCTCCCCGTAGGGCAGACTCTGTCCACCCTAACCGTTGTGGAATCCTCCAAGTTCCGGAAAGACCGCGTCTTCGTCCCTCCTTGTTCTTCGCACAGCATCACCAGGAAGGGGACCACGTGCGGGGCCCCACTACACACGTAGAACCTGGCAGTTCCTTTATTGGGCCAGTTCTGATCGGCCCAATGAGGGGACCTTGGCCCAACGCTGGGGGCTATAAATACCCTTTGTTTCAAGAGGGTCAGGTATTCATCTATTACACACCTATAAACTTTGGCCTGCTCATTCCGTCTCTCACTTTAGCATCAGAGTGTCTTGCAGGTGCCCCCCCCATCTCTCTCTCAAGCCAGTTCGAGCCAGCCGTGACGGTCCAAGTCTGATCCGGTAAGATCAGTGGCACCGTCTGTGAGAAACTAGCTTCCCCGTCTTGCAAACTCTCGAAGACCAAAGCTAAAAATCACCTCCTACCGTCATGACTGACCAAATTCGGGATGACCAGAACGTCCGCGTCGTCGACGTCAACAACAACCTCGCAGATAAGAACGAAATCCCCGACAACACCAGCAACCCCGGCCATAACACACTCCCCGGGGGCACCTTCCCCGGGCCCTCGGGCCACCGCGATGGAGCCACTGCCTCATCTTCTTCAGTCCCTCCCCCACTCGAAGAAGACAATACAACTCCCCCAAACTATCTAGCTGCCCAATTCCAGGAAGTTCCTGTCCCCGCTGGGGCAGATGCCACGACCAGAGCACTGTTCGCGGCAATCAATCAAACCAACTACCTCATCTTTGCCCAGGGAGAAAGATTGAGGGCGCTAGAGGACGAAAGAAGACCCCCGAGGAGGCACAGGAGGCCTCAGACCCCACCTTCTCGAGTAACAGAGGTACGTCTCCTGTCTCCCCCGCGGAGGCAATGCAGAGACACCTCCCGAAGCCCTTCGCCCCGACCATCGGGGAGACGACCCCCCTTGGAGAGGCAACCCGACATTGAAGCCGGAGGGCACAACCACGGCCCTTACGGCAAGAAAGAAGACACCCTAGAGACAGGCACGGGAGGGCGGACCAACGAGCATCCCGCTCGAGGGGCATCCAGCATGACCAGGACCGTCGGGCCCGACAATATCTCAGGTCCCCGTCCATATCCCCAGAGCGAAGTGACGAGGACGACCCCCGCGGTCCCCTTTCACAAGCCATCATGGAGGCGCCCATTCCCCCGGGCATGGAGAAGCCTCCACATATGAAAGAATACGACGAAGTCGCGGACCCAGTCGACCACATAGACGGGTTCGAGGCTATGTTGCATTACCATAATGTCGGGGGACCCATCAAATGCCGGTTGTTTCCCACGACCCTCGGAAAGGAAGCAATGGATTGGTATAAAGGTCTCGCCCCGGGATCAATCACCTCGTGGCGAAACCTGAAGAATCAATTCATAAGTTCGTTCACCGCGTCTCGGCGACATCCAAAGACCGAGGCAGCACTCAAGGCCATCGTCCAGAGGCAGGACGAGACTTTGAGAGAATTCATCAACCACTTCAATCGCAAAGCCATACAGGTCCCCTGCGCGGACCACGTGAAATGGTACTTGCTGGAGAGGGGGCTCCTCCCCGGCACAGAATTCAGAAAGGCGGTGGGCATCAAACTGCCCCGAACGTTCGATGCTCTCCTCGAGAAGGCCCGTGCATATATGGATTACGAGGAAAGGGAAGCGGCCAACAGAGCCCGGGACCCCAGAACTCGCGGATCCAGCAGCAACCCGCGCCAAGAGGCCGCTCCTCCTCGACGAACATGGGAGAAAAGAAAAGAGGACAGACCCCGAGAAGTTCGAGAACAGAGAGGACCCTCGGGGCGTTTCATAGAATACACTCTTCTCACGGCTTCCCGCGAGCGCATCTTGGCGGAGTGCGCCAGCACAGATTTCAAAGATGGCGGCGTCAAGCGCCCTCGACCAGCTCCTGCCAAGCCCGGGATGGACAAGAGAAAATACTGTTAGTACCATAGGATCCACGGTCATCTGACGGAGGACTGCGTCCACCTCAAGGACGCCATCGAGACCCTCATAAAAGGGAGGAGACTCGCCCAATATCGGTGAAACAACGCTCCTCTTCGCGACGCCCGGGATACAAGAGAACTGAAGGAGGATGCCCGACCATCTGACGAGTCGGTCCCCATCCAGACCGCCTTCTCCGTCACAAGACCTGAGGACTTCTATGTCCCCGAGCACCTGCAAGAACCGTTGTCAACACACAGCAGGTGAGAGCACTTTCCATCCGCCATGGTCATCAATGGTGGAGGATTCAACGACCTAACCATAAATTCGGCCAAGAGGAAGCTGGATGAACTTGTCGACTCTGCACCTTCTCAAATGGTGACTTTTGAAAGGGTGAAAGGTAGGTCGGAGCTTATCACCTTTTACCTCGAAGAGCTCCCCGGAAGAGCCCCCAACGCGGTCATTCCTCTACTAATAAGAGCGAGAATGGCTAATTTTGACGTACACCGCATTCTCGTCGATGAAGGAAGTTCCGTCGATGTAATGTACAGTCAACTGTTTCGGACCCTGCAGCTCGACGACTCACACCTCTTACCTTATGTGGGGTCGGACCTACAGGGCTTCAACGGCTCAACCTCCAAACCTTGGGGATACGTCGAGCTCATGGTTACCTTTGGCGAGGACACGGAGACGAGGCAGGTCAAGGTACGCTTCCTCGTGATCGACTTCCCGTCCCTCTACAACTGCATCCTGGGACGACCAACACTAGCAGAACTGATCGCGGTACCCTCTATCGTCCACTTGAAGATGAAGTTTTACACCAAGAGGGCACGGGTCGCCACCATCCAAGGGGACTTGGCTGCTGCTCGAAGGTGTTTCAACACGGCGTCTAAGGGACGCGACACGGTCGACATTGGGACAAGGCCCGCCAAGAGACCAACGACGACACGACCAGAGCCCGAGAAGACAGAGCCTGTCAAGGCAGAAGAACAGAGGGCTCCCCCAAAGGTCGACTCCATAGCCTTGGACACCCGTTTCGACTAGGACGAGCCTCCCAGCGGCGAGCAAGCCCCCCTCCGACCAATCCCGGACAGGGACTTCGAGCTCGTCCCCCTCGATGAGGACCCAAATAAAGGAGCAAAGATCGGCACCGACCTCCCCGACCTGGCAAGAAAGCAGATCAAAGCCTGCTTGCGCGAGAATGCTGACTTGTTCGCGTGGAGCGCCGCAGAGATGCCCGGACTCGACGCCGAGGTCGCCTATCACCGTCTCGCCATAGATCCAGCCGCTAAGGCAGTAGTACAACGTAGACGTAGACAGTCCCCGGAGAAAACGGGGGCTGCTGAAAAAGCTGTAAAAGACCTCTTAGAGGCAAATTTTATTTCTGAAGCCCGGTATTCAACCTGGCTGTCAAACGTTGTATTGGTCAAAAAGAATAATGGAAAATGGCGAATGTGTGTTGATTATACCGACCTCAATCGGGCATGCCCGAAGGATGCTTTTCCTTTACCGAACATAGACATGCTGGTCGACAACTCGGCCGGTTACAAAATACTGTAGTTCATGGATTCTTATTCAGGCTATAACCAAATCCCAATGTCCATGAGCGACAAGCATTGCACTGCCTTTATGACCAGCTCGGGCAACTATTACTACAACGTAATGCCATTTGGTCTAAAAAACGCAGGGGAAACATACCAACGTATGATGAACAGAGTGTTCCACAAACAAATCGGGGACATGCTCGAGGTTTACATGGACGACATGATCGCCAAATCCCGAGCAGACACCGACCATGCAGCCCACCTCAAAGTAGTCTTTGCCCAAGCAAGACAATGTAAGATGAGGTTCAACCCCGAGAAGTGCACGTTTGGGGTCAAGGTAGAGAAATTCCTCGGTTTTTACCTGACAGAACGAGGAATCAAAGCCAATCCCGACAAGTGTCGAGCTTTCTCCGACCTCCCGACACCCACGTCGAAGAAATCAATACAAGTCATGAACGGCATGCTCACCTCGTTGTCCTACTTCGTCGCGAGATCCGCTCAGCACGCCCTCCCCTTCTTCAAACTCCTTCGTAAAGAGGCAGCCTTCGAATGGACCGAGGAATGCGAACGGGCGCTGCGCCACCTAAAACAAAG